AACTGGAATAACTTCACTTTTGTCCCTGACTTTTGCAGCATGCGATTTTGTCTAAAAAATATCTCATGAAACGCTACAAAGAACAGAAAAAATGATGAGTAAAGAAGCAATTCATTACTTGACTCCATCATACTTATACAATTGTACAATGGAAGTTCGCCTGAAAAATAATAAAACTACAAGTTAGACAACGAGATATATTTCCATATGTAATTTTAAAAAAATTATATATAACTACAAAAAGTTACCATTTCTTTCTTCCCAGTCGTCTCCACGGAAACTGGAATAACTTCATTTTTGTCCCTGACTTTGGCAGCATGCGATTTTGTCTAAAAGAACATCCCATGAAATGCTACAAAGAACAGAAAAAATGATGAGTAAACCAAAAATAATAAAAATTACAAGTAAGACAACGAGATATATTTCCACATGTAATAAAAAAATTATTTATAACTACAAAAAGTTACCATTTCTTTCTTCCCAGTCGTCTCCACAGAAACTGGAATAACTTCATTTTTGTCCCTGACTTTGGCAGCATGCGATTTAGTCTAAAACAACATCCCATGAAATGCTACAAAGAACAGAAAAAAGGATGAGTAAAGAAGCAATTCATAATTTGAACTTGATCATAGAAAATTAAAGATAATAAAAACCACATTACGTGCATTTCTAAACTACTAGAGAATTAGTCAATCATTCAGAAAACATGACATTTAAATTTTGGAATCAAAACATTAGCGCAAAGTTACCTTATTCGGTGTTTCAAGTACAGCGCTTCCCTCTTTCTCAGTATTACTTTTTGAAAGAGAATCTGACCTAATATTTTTCGTCTTTGTTGTCGAAGTTCTGCGTTTCTCTGAAATTTTATTAACAATGAGATAATATAGAATTTAATGCGTGACAGAAGTAAAATTTTATTATTTCAATAAGAAACCTTATATCGACTGAAAATAAGGAATCCTGTGAACTGAATTTTAAAACCATTTTGCTTAAAATTTAATTTGGATTCTTTCCCTTCCTTTCAAAAGAAAAGAAATAATTGTTTTTCCAGAAACATTTCCAGCTTCTACCATCTACTGAAGTAGTTTTTGTAACTTTTTAATTTTGTATACGCCACTAAAACATTAAGATTAGATGAGAAGTAGCAATGACTACCTGATTGTGATTTTGCTCTAGTAGACGCTGGTTTCTTGACTTTTTCAGTATTTTTACTGACTGAAGTATGCACAGAAGTTTTTGGAAGCCTTGGAGTGTTGGTTTTAGGTAAGGAAGGTTCAGAAACAACACTAAGATAACGTGTAGCATCTGCACGGGAATGTACGGGGATAGACAACCCTTCAAAAAGAGAATGAAATGAAGAAACTGAATCCTCGTCCGCACAGGATTCCAGCGGACGCGATGGTGGTGGTATGACAATTTTCAGCTGTGGATATTTTGCTGGCTAAAATATTAAAAGATTATTTTAGAGAGAGGATTAACAACAACATAAAATGTGGTACTGCTAAGAACCGCAGTGTAGTGACTAAAAATAACTCTCTTCTCTCGCCTAAAAAAACATTAAAAAACTTCGGAATCGGTCAATTAACTGATTGCATTTAAAGAACTAATTTAGGTATAATTGAAAGAACTTACGTCGTCTTTGTGCAATGCCAGATAGTCTTTCAGGTTCTTCATTCCAACTTTAATTTCTTGTTGAAGAATTTCTTGATCACGCTACAATGCTTTTATTATGTACTATGATCTAAAATGCAGTGTATAAGAACTCCTGATTTTGGCGAAATTATTGGTTACATAAATTTTTTACTATATAAATGAGACTGTTCAATAGTAAAATCATATTGATCAATTTCAAAATGATAAATATTTGTTATTTTTAGTGTGCTTACGTTTTAAACTGCTTTTAAGAGAAATAGATACCTCTTTATCTTCTTCACGAGCTTCTTTCAATAACTGCTTGATATCCTTATCTGACAAGTCACAGTTTGATGAAAACAAACGATTGAAAAGATCTGCCTTCAAACGCAATTTGACCAAAAGCAACTGTTCTTCCTGTGCTTTTTTATTCTTTACCTACAATAACGATATGACATTAACTATTAAACAGAAATAGTAATTTGTTGCTTTGCATAAGAAGGAGCAGTTTTCTAAGTAAGATTTTCCAAAAAATGCTTTGAAATTAAAACGCAAACTGCATCAAAATATTTGTGAATACCATAGTGAAGCAAGTATAAAGATTAACATAAGTCTCTCAAAGACTCTTTTTTTTCCAACCTCTGCCTATTACTTTTAAAACAATATCTGTAATGCATCTAAGTCCTCTAGAAGATCAGAACGCATTTTAAAATAATATTCGATTACGGGAATGACAAAAAGAATAATCAAGAATCGCACAAAACGAAAATATTTTACTAAGGGACAACTTAACAGTCTAAATATTAAATAAATTACAAACCGCGAAAAAAAACTATCATACTTCTTGTTGAAAATAGACAACCCAAGCATTAATAAGTTCTTTGCGAGAATATTTTTCTCCCGGTTTTCGAAGAAAATGGTGGGGATGACCACTTGACATAACGCGTTCAAACTCATCTTTACAAGCCTGTGACTTAGTTACATTAATTGAAGTCAAATATGCATAACGCAATGCTGAAGCGAATTCTAAAAACTACAACTATTAAAAGCCAGAATACGTTCAAACTATTGGCTGACAATATTAATAATTTTGTGATAATGTTTCTCAAGTTTTAGCCATTAAATGTCTTGGATTCACAATAATTTATGAGGAAGGACTTTAAAGGTCACACCTTTTCAGTGAAAAAACCATTTGGTCGTTTATCATGGAAATTTTCTATCAGTTTTTTACTTCGTTCAGACCTGAAAATCACATACTTGTATGACACAGCATATCAAAAAGATTGTTGAGAATATAAAAAATGAAAAGTACCATTCACTCTCAATTTCCATCAGTTCGAAAAGGTGAAGAGTTTCTTCAAGACTCCAGTCGTCTGATCCGTTCCAATTTCGCATTCTCAAAAGAAATACCAAACTGATTCTACACAAGTATTAAAGTAACTAAATGAAACGTAAGAATCCTAAATACGTCCACTTGAACTACAAAATTTAATGCAACCAACATTCATTTATTTTCTTCCTGGCTTAACGCTACAACGATAATTTTTATTTCAATGTTATCCTTCTATACTACTCAGTTACTCTCAATCACAAAGTGTTCCTTAAACTTCTCTATTATTTCTGTAGTGTCTCTTATTTTCATTGATCTTTTTCTTCATTTTTTCATCTTTGATATTTGAAAGCGTCTATGAAATGTTATAATACATTTACTTCAGCAATGATTTCACGTGAGTATAAATTAAAGTGTGAAATGTCATGCAGAATTGATTCAAGATGTTGAAAATTTGTCACAGGTCAATAAACCAATAATTGGTGTAAATTATAAGGAGAGCAAAATACTATTTATCAATCTTCTTATAAAAATTTACATAAGACTGCAATCAGTACCGAAGAAGCAGTCATGAGCATTCTCATACATTTTTATTTCTAATATCGAACGGTTGTGTTAAATGTTAGTTCTCTTGTTTGTTGCTTATAATCATACTAAGGAAAGTCAAGCAATATTTATTGCACTTCATCGATAACAGAGATGTGTATTTGTCTTTTATGTTATCGGACTTGATTTTTTCCTCAATAAAACTAATTTTAGGCAAAAAAGGTAAACTTATCTAGACGTAAAACGTAGGTTACTTATGATAATTAAAATTTATAATTATTGCAATTTGGTTCTAGCAACATGAGATTGAGAGAAGTTAAAAAATTAGCTTTTGTTGTAAATGATTTAGCTAGAATTTATTTAATTTGAATTTGTCGTGATAATAATTTGAATTACTGTGAGAATATTTTGTGAGGTGTTATTATGGGTGACAACTACGAACCAATTGGTGCATTACAAAATGCTACCTCTCCTATGCCAGGAAATGCACGAGCACCAGCACCAACACCAGCTCTTTTACATTCACCAGCACCATCACTACCAGTACCACTACCTGTACCACCATCACAACCACCAGCACAAGCGGTAGCTCCACCGCCACCACCACCACCGCCACTGCCGGCACAACAGTCAATAGCACCTTCTACAGATCTAGATGCCGAATTGTTAAGGAGTTCCACCGATATGAGTATTAAAAAATTTGATCCGGAGAGTAAGCAGTTCATCTGCAACTGTTATACTTGCAAGTCTAACTATAATCGTCAGACATGCTATAGTTACCTGTACTCGATATCTGTCTGATGGGCAAAAGTTAAAGTAGATGAAGAAGCGAGACAACCGTACTTTTGTATAAAATTCTAACTTGTGAGTACGTGTCTACGTATGTTACACGCGAGATAGTCAGTGATGTCTACTTCATTTGAAAAATCACGCTTAACGCCCAAAAGTTCAAGTAATGATAAAAGACAATACATGATTCATTCCACTCAGTATAACTATGCTCTTGCTAATAGAAATGTGTACTGTTCAATTTCGTTACTGTGAACTATTTTTATTTTCGCATGTGGGACAGAAGTGCAAAATGTTTCCAGCAATGTAACGTTCTGAGGAATACAAGGTGTGCAATTGATGAGCTCGACAGAACTGTAAATACTATGACACTGTGATGCACAATTACGTTGCAGGAGGCGAGATGAGAGATTCAAAACGGAAAGCACTGATGGTTGTAATCTATGTGGCTGCAATGGTACTTGCGATCCTTGTCTTTAATATCGGTGTTGCTATCGGCTATTACACTTTGTAAGGTAGAAAGGTAAGCGGCTATTACTGTCGATCATGAAGTTTACTGCTTTAGCACAGGTTCGTGTCTACTTTCTACAGTTCGTGATAACAAGTAGTCTGATTGCTTCAAATGACTAATTAACATTAAACTTTCCTTAGTGAGTAATTGTCTATTTTTGTTTGCAAATAGTAACAAATCAACAAGTAATTGATGCTGCATCACTTCTGATTACATTTTATCATATGAGAGTTTTGACTCAAGCAATAATTTTATGATAAATAATATTTCATGATGCTAAAAGCGAAGATCATTGGGATAAAGTTAGTTATCGAAATTACCATTAAGCATATAAATAATGATTATAATAATAAGTGTTATTGTGATCCTTATTATCGTAATAATAACAATTCTTATTACAATTACAAAAATTATCATCAATATTATTGATGGAAAAATAATTCATTTCAATAATTTTGCAGTTTCTATTTTTAACTTCAATAAAAGTAACTGCTACCTCAGAATTTAACTGTATTGCCTATTAACTTACTATTATTTTAGTCTATCTGCTTAATAATATTAACATAGTAATAATCATAAAAGCAGTATCTACAGAAACAGTAAAGATGAGGTTTAAGAAAACATCTCTTAAAGATGTAGGTGAAGTGATTCCTACTTGTGATTATGGTCAACTTTTTATCATTTTCACTGTCTCTTAAACGTATACTTTTTTTCAAGCAGATTTGCAGATTCAGTGATTAATAACGTGGTATGGAAAAAGAAAGCTCTCTACTATGGTGTTTTAATCAGTACAAATTATGCATCATTAAGAAGATTATTACATGAATTCACGCAATTACTAATAGATTGCATTGTCATAATAACTTGCAAGTTGCTGAAATGGATGAATAAAAAGCAGTCATACCAACTTTCCAAATTTCATACGAATAATGAAATAATCTAACTTTGAGTCGGATCGGAGAAGTTAGTAACCCAAAGCTAATCTATGATGATCTGTTATTTTTTTAAATTCAAAAAAAATATTGCATATGTGTTGTTAAATAAAAAAAGAAGTACAACATGCATAATATTTAGCTGGAATCTTTTGTCAAGAATAATTTTAAATATTCTTTGCATACCCGACGGAACAGTTAAAGCAGCTCTATTCCATCCTTCGCGCCAACATTCGGAAGAAATTTCTGACGATGAGAATAAATTATGGTTAAGAGCGTGGAATGATGTGTTGGATTTTGTTAATTGACTCAGTCAGTGATTACTGTCAATTTTGAAGAAGCAAATTCTATGATGCATTGTAATTCATACTGTTCAAGAAAAGAATTAAGTGATAGCAGTTATGTATATGTTTACCTGGCTATTTATGCCACTACATTAGTCTAAATTTATTACATTTATTCATTACACCAAATATCCTTCTGTAATCGGTTTTCTGGCACAAATGTTTATAATTACGAGACTTATGCTCTGGTTTTTCACTCTCTACAAGTGAAGCAAAGCAAACCTGTGATAAACATGTATTTCTCGAGGTTCATTTCATTTCACATTTGAAATCTTGGCATAAATTAGCCATCAAGTGCTTTTTTATGATTTTTATCATGAATCAGATCGCGCGAGAGTAAAGTAAGACATGTTTGTTATTCTAGCATAATTCTACAAAAAAAAAAATGACCAAATTAGGATACATCGTATTTTTCAAAAATTTTTATTTGTTATACAGATGGTGTAATCAGTATTTTTAAATCAAAAGATCAGTTAGTAGTTTTCTTCACTTGGTGACCATGGATGTTCTTGACGCCATCACGAAGCAGCTCTATTTCATCCTTAGCGCCAACGTTTACTTGAGGAGCGGTCACCTATACAACATAGTTAATCATAATTTTATGCTTGTTCAGTTCACCGCAAATAATTCAATTAATCAACTCTTATAAGTAAGAGTTACTTATGAGTCAATGAATAACTAGCTTAAGCAAAGTAATCGCTCAATAAAAAGTATGCGAATGCTGTAAATATAAATTACCACATGCCTTCGTATAAATTTATGAAGGATATTAGAATAAAAAACTTTAGTTAGTACAAAAATGAGCAAAATTACAACAGCATTTTAATTTGTCCGAGCTGTTATTAAGTGAAGAAATACCGAGGATGGCGGAGGTGCTGGTGAAACAGGTCCTTGAATAGGTGGTTTTTCTTCGGCAATTATCTTTACATGAACTTGGTTATTTTTATTAGTAGATATTATACCTTTCTTTTGTGACATTCTGTAAGATTTCTTTGCTTATCACTTTTGTACTGCTCGAACTTGAACTTCCATTTTGCAAAAAATTGCTGATTACGAGTACAATAGTTTATGATGTAAAAATATCAAATGATTTAAAATATTAAGACATGTGTGAATGCATTTCTGTGCTATGGATGTATACCAAGGACAGTTCGAGCAAGCATAAGGTGAATTCAAAATCCAAGTGTAAGTCACTGTGTGAACTGTATTTAGTCGAGAGCATTAATCACTGGCTTACATGAGGGAGTTAAGAGAGCAGTTAGGTAAGTTAGCCGAGTAGTTTTCTTCACCTCTACACAAATGACTTGTTTAGATTTTTCCAAGCATTTTCTATGTATTCGCACTTGGCATTTAATTTGCATACTTAACACTTAAGTTTTACATTTTATTTGCATACTTAATATTTAAGTTTGTGATCTATTTGCATACTTAACACTCAAAATTAATCATTTAATAAACATTTAACCACATTATAAAAGTATTGCATATTAAAATAAAATCATTTACTGAGACTATTTAAAATCGTAAATTTTAAGTTCGTTGTATTTTCAAATTTCATTTTCCAAATTCGGTAGTGTGCTTGCTAGCTTCAGAAATTGGAGCACGGAAAATGTACAACAAAGAGTCGGGTCGGATTGAAGTGGACCAAGTAAAACGGAAGTAGATTTTTTTAACCCTTCACTTCATAGTATTAATCATTTTTGATTATATATATTTATAAGTTATTTAGTGGTTACGAGCCAATAGCACAAATTGAAAATTCAACAACTCCACCGGCTTATGTTGTTCGTGAAACAAGCGATGGACGATTGGTGAGATGCATAATTTCCAAGCCTGTGTAATAAGCAGAAAAAGTGCCATAATCTTCTGTACTAAAATGCAGTTTTGAGAAATCATAAAAATTTTAGGACTCTTGACATATGATTCATAAATTTTCATTAATTATGACAAAATGTTACTAAATTTGGTTCATCTGAAGGTCAATGATAGTTTCGGAGTCGAGTGGCCGACTCGTCCACCTTTCGGTCGATATGCTGAACAAAGCCAAGTATCATATTCTACATTTTTTTTATTTGCTGCCAAATGGATATAATTTTTAAATATTAAATAATTAAAATAACAAATGAATACGATTTTTATAGGAATGCGTCTCACCAAAGAAAAAAAATCGTGGAAAACAGCGTAATCGTGGTCAGACTAAAGCCATGAAAATTTTCCAGTAAGTCGGTACAAGTCATTAACATTTTTGTACAATTGTCGTTTTCAGTAGGACATCTTACATTGCAAAATTTCTTATGTTTCAGAAATGAAGGCATCAAAGAGAAACAAAATGGAAAAGCCGGGAATCGTCAGAATAGCGGTTCTGTAGTAATGCAACAAGAGAAAGTAATTAAGCAAGAAACTTGAAATTCACTTGCGAATTGCGTAAAAAATAAAAACATGTCGATTATTGCATACTTTAATTATGCAGGCATATTTGCAAAACTTTAAATCATATCTATGTATGGTTTTGACAAAATTTGCTTGTATAATTAAAATATGCTGAATTACTTTTTGAACCAGATTACAAAATTTAACAAAACTATCACAGATTTCAATACTGCCGTAGCTATTTATCATTTTCAAGCTTATTCTATGTTTGAGGATAAACCATCAGATGAAGCGGAAAAATGGCATGCCAATAACGACTATCTATTTGTTGGTAAATTTCTTTTTTTCAGTAAAATTGCTATTAAAAAAAGTAATCTTTTCAATGATTATGCATTTTAGCCTTCAAATAATTTGCTCTGCTTTTCAGTTAATGTATTGATAATAGCAACAACAAAAAAAAATCGTAGAAGTTTATGCCACAAATGTTTCGGCAGTTTTTAGGAGCACAAACATTAACTTCAGTCGCCAAATTACTTCGTCAGAACGATTTCCGACTGTATTATCAAATGCCATCTTTGAAAGATAATATTATTCCAGTTCACATTCCATTATGCTTGGCTTATATGAGTGCTGCTGGAAAGGTTATAAGTTTTAATATTATTTTATGAAGTAAAAATGCATAAATGTGAATGATTTTAAAAAAAAAAGAAAGAAACTTGCAAATATAATTTAATCTTTTAATAGATTTTATTTTATTTTAATATTATTGAATACATTTTAGGTGTATCATTTTCCAATAGTTTGCACTAAAAATGAAGCGACCGGTAGGGAAAGTTGGCGAGTAATGTACGGTGATCCACGACCATCCTCCTTCAATAGCTTAGCTGCGTTGGTCAAATACCACAAGACTTACTCGTACATGGATCCAAAAACAGGCGCAATAGATACTTTTCCCGTTTGGAAGGGTGCTATCATTGATTCAGATGATATTGACTAATATAAATAACACAACTGATATATAATGAAACTACTAATTATTTTGAATAAACTATAATTTTTTACTTTGACTTTAGCACTCATTCAAATTACTAAATACATCTATTTTTTTTTTAATTTTTTGTAGTTATACTTATATAATGTCGAAAAAAAGAAGGTTATTACTGATGGGAAAAAAAAAAGATAATAAATTCGTATAAAAAAATTATCAAAAATAATTAATACTACATTTATTTAATCTCTACAGAAATCAGGCTGTTTATTGTTTGAATTTGTTATTTCATTGAAATAAAAATCTAAATTAAAAAAAAATGTATGCTTTAATATTTGAGTACTTAATATTTACTATTTAATTGCTTATCATTACTTGATGAACAAGCACAATAAATATTATGATAGGCATTTAAATGCTTTCTGATTTTATAAACTTTAAATTTCAAAATTTGTTACAAAATTTCAACTAATTTGTAATCATAAAAATTTGATATTTTCAATCACAAAAAATTTAAGCATATATATATATATATATATATGAATAATACATTACTTCATTAAAAAAAAGGAAGACTAATAATACTTTTTTAACGTGCTGATTACTTTAAGTCTTGTCTTGTCGTTTGCATCTAATTTTTTCTTTCAAAAAATTTGTCATTTAAGTATTGCAAAGAAATGAGTATTGCATTCATTTACTACAAATTTATTGCCTTTATTAAGCCAATTTTATCTTTCTAAAATGAAAAATGCAATTTTTTTAGCATACAAATGTATACATATGAACGAGCTTAGACATACATACATATAAGTATGAGTAGAAAAAATGTTGACATTCAGCAATGACTAATATA